GCAGGAGGCGGCAGGAGGCAGGAGGAGGCAGGAGGAGGCAGCAGGAGGCAGGAGGAGGCAGCAGGAGGCAGGAGGAGGCAGCAGGAGGCAGGAGGAGGCAGCAGGAGGCAGCAGGAGGCAGCAGGAGGCAGCAGGAAGCAGCAGGAGGCGGCAGGAGGAGGATGCAGAGGTTCTGTCGGCCCACAGATGGTTCTGGGTTTCTGCAGACGCTCAGGCAGGATGATGACGTGCTGCAGCTTGCAGACCGCAGCTCCTCTGTGAGGAGATCACGCCTCCTCTCTCTTCCTCTTTCTGGTTCCTCCGGGTCGCTCTGGTTCTGAGCACCGTCGAGGAGGGCAGGGATGGCCGAGCTGGAGGGTCTGGAGTTCGGGAAGTCGGACTTTGTTCTGCTGGACGAGGTGACCATGGAGCAGTTCATGGAGAACCTGAAGCTCAGGTAAGAACCCACAGGAACCCTGAAGGATCACCTTCACTGGAACACACTGGAACTTCAAAATAAAAGCTGAAGTATTTGTGAGGAGATGATGAGATGAAGAACTGCTGCCTCCCGGTTCCTGCTCAGCTCTCACCAACACTCAGAGTGTGTCTGTTAGCAAAATATCTCACCAACCAGTCGGCAGGTTGGAGTGAAACTTTCAGGAAACCATCACCAGGTGTGGACCTGCAACTGKTTAACTTTTGGAGCTGATCCAAGWCAAGATGGCCGACACAGCTAGTTGCTTTTACAAAGCACAAAAATGCATAAAGCTCGGTCAGTTTAGCAGATATGCAGCTAAAATTTAACAGAATAGAAGCTGAAAATCAGCCAAAACATAAAAACTTATAAATGTACCAACAAGTGGTTTAAAGGAGGAGATTTTTATCTTTTTATCTCCACGTCTGATCAGATTTGCCTCCGGGRGAAACCTGTAACTTTGGTTTCTGTGACGTTAAAAGATGTTCTGACAGGAGGAAAACACCTAAACTTTAATTCAAATAATCAAACTTTCCCTGCGGATCACCT